TAGACTTTAGGGGTTATTTTGAAAAAATGTATAAATCACAGGGACCAAACTGTATTATCATAAAAAAAATAATATAATTTGTCATTAGCCAAATTTAAAAATGCTCATACTATAATTAAGAGTTTAATATTTTTAATTTACATTTAAAATAATTTAGTCATTTTAAAAATAAACCGTTCATAAAACCGAAACAATTGATATTTTAAAAAATAAAATATGTATTTGAGTCGAAATATAAAATTTTGAATCAAAAATTTTAGTGTCGACCGGTTTTGGGAACTACAGTGTAATTCGATAGTCATTAACGTGCAACTTATATAACACTATTGTGCACACGTGCATGAATTATTTACGACTTGCCTCAAATCAAATTAAAATTGAACGAAATAGTCGAGTTATTTGATCGGTTAACCGAACCAACATAAATAACCGAAATAGTTTGACTTCAAATCGAAATAATCAAATTTTAAAAATTCACACCAAAATATAAAATCCGAACCAAAAATATAGCTTTATTGTGGGAGTTATCGGCGTTAATTGTAGAGTGTCATGATATAGTGCAACGCTCTGGGTAATAAAATGCAACGTGTTGATATATAAAGTGCAACATGTTCATATATAAAATGCAGCTATGTAATTGGTATGTTAGCATGTTTGTGTTTTTTTGTTTTTTTTTTTCTTGTTTGTGTTTTTTTTTTGGTGGACAATTAATGTGATTGATGTTAAAATATTATGTAGCTCCATTTTTTAGACGTATGTTGTGTGGTATTTTAGCAATCAGACTTTACTTGCGGGATGTGGTGATAAAGTGCATATTGTTGTTTTATAAAGTGCAACATGTTGCTTTGTAGAGTGCATCGCGTCGCTATATAAAGTGCAATACTTTATATGATCACATATAAATTATATGTTTTTGAAAACTATATTAGTATATTTAATTGCACATCAGATTAACCTAAATAATGGAAATTTTTGTTACTTACTATTATAAGAATACATTAATTGTTTTAATATTTTTATTATATATTGTTTGGTTAAAAAATAAAAGATACACATTTTTAACATTTTGTTCCATCAAAAATAGAAACTGAAACGTGATAAGTTAATAGGTTTATTCGATACTTAACCGATTTACCCTAATAAATACCTAAAATTGTTCAATATTCATTATAAAAATATATTTCGTATGTTAATATAAATATATATATATATATATATTTCTATCATTGTATTTGGTTGAATATAACAATATATTTAAACAAAAATATATAAAGATAATTTTTTCTATATAGTTCGATCGTTTGGTTATTTTGGTTTTTTATTGTAAAGTCGAAACAACATTTTAAAATAAACATTTATTTCAACTTAAATATGCAAATTCGAACGAAACAATTTAATTATTTATGTTTCGGTGTTATATGGTGCAGTCCGACAGTCATTAATATGCAATGTATCGGTCATTAACGTGCATTTCGTCGTACACTCATATCGCATATATATTTAATGTGAATATACACAATACATTTTGTAAATTTATTTATCATTAACATACAATTATTAATTTTCTATAAATTACAAATTTGGCAAATGTATCAAATTTAAATATAGTC